GACATGGTGGAGTACAAGCTTTGCTCAGAGAAAAAGTGTAACCCTAATCTCTCCTATACACACTGCAGAGGCCATCTACTCCAACTAGCCCTAGTACGAGCTGCAGAATCTTCAAAAGATATTAAAAAAGCTATAAATGTAATGTCTTCATTATATTCTTTTTTCAGCAAGAGTCCAAAAAGACTGAATATCTTGGAAAATACAGAAGATACCCTGGGACTGAAGTTCAAATTAGTCCAACCTGGGAAAACCCGCTGGCTTTCTCATGAGCGATCCTTGGCTGTTGTTTTAAAATTACTCCAGCCATTATTACTGGCTTGGGAAAGTATCTCCCAAGATGGGATGGATCTAAGGAGTGAGGCTGGTGGATTACTTTTGCTACTACGTTCAGAGAAGACTATTCCCATTCTCTCTCTCGTAGGTCTACTGTTGAAACCACTTGGGTCATTACACAAGGCCATCCAGGCACCTGCTACAACAGTAGAGATCTTTGTCCAGCAATAGAAGCTACATTTGGATCAATCCGAGAGCTATCCATTGTAAAAGTACTGGACGAAGCAAAGACTTCAGTCCAGAAGTTGACTAATGAAGGCATTTATATTGAATGCTTAAGTGAAGAGGACAAGAAGTGTTTGTTAAGACAACTGAAAAAGTACACAGACTTGATTCTTACAAATCTACAACAGCGACTTCTAGATTCTACTCACCTCTACGTAGCTTTTACAGATCCCTGTCCTATAAAACACCTACAGTTGAGTGGAGTGCGGCACTTCCAGCAATGGGGCTGCCGTGTGCTCAGGACAGAATAGAGAATTTGAACACAGAGTGGAATATCAAACAATGAATGAATGAAGATTTGACTTCAACTTCTTTTTTATCATCACTAGTGGCTCGACCCGATCTTTGTGCTCTGTTTTCTGGGATGAAAGAAGTAGGAATTCATCTCTTGCTCCTCCCAGTCACAACAGCTACAGGTGAGCGTTCTTTTTCATCACTGAATAGAATTGTGTGTTCTGAAAGAAGTCGCCTTCTGCCTGATCTTGTGATTGAACTAATGAGCACATCAACTGAAGGAATGGAAGTACCGGATACACGAGAAGCCACCAAACATGAACGCATTGCATTCGAGAAGTTCATTAACAGAGTTGTACAAAATTATAACAAGAAACCAAGAAGGATGTAGACGTAGTGCTTCATAGAAG